AGCCAAAAGCTTTGAGAATTTAAACTCTCATGCACAACTAAGCACATAACCAAAATATGTAGTATGTGCTCCATAAGTGTGAGTTTTTATTTGTGCCATGTTTCATGGCTTACAAAACATTTCCACAGCCATTATCATCTCTTGACTAGGATCCAGTCCATTTGGCACAGGCATTTGAAAGAAATTCAGGACACCGGGCAAGCGCTGAGGTCCTTTACCAAATGCGTCACCAAGAGGCTAATCTTTCAGGTCTGGTTTTCCAGGCCCAGACCTGCCTGTTCCTCATGCCCTAGAAAAGCACCCCGGAAGGAGTCCAGCATATGCTCTCTGCCTTAGAAACAGCTTCTGCCCCAGAAGTAGGAAGCCTACCTCATCCCTCACCCAGCAGAATGAATTATGTAGATCACTGCATAAGCCAGGCAGTTCTTATCTCCCTGTTTCTAAACAGCAGTAGATAGTCTTTAGAATGTTAATTTTTGGGCTGAGGAAATTAAGCTGTGACATGGCCTCCAGCTAAAAAAAAATTAGCTGTCTTATGAAAACAAAACAACAACAAACTCACCACCATGGAGTCCATTCTGACTCAGAGTGACTTTATAGAGCTGGTGAGACTGTCCTTGTGGGCTTCTGAGACTTTCTATGGGAGTAGAAAGCGTTGTCTTTCTCCCATAGGGAAGCTGGTGGTTTTGAACTATTGACATTGTGGTTAGCAGGCCAACACATAAACAATGTCCAAAAGCCACTCAATCTTTGTTCCATGGAGTATTAGTCATCACCCCTCCTCCACACTCTAGCAGGGGTCCAACAACATCCACAGTCCGTGTTCATGGAAATAGCAGGCCAGAAATCAAATGCTGCATTGCATTGAGTCAATGTACTGCATACGGATGTCCCTTTGAGGACTAAGTTGCACTTGACCCAAGCCATGAGTTCAGGATGTTTTCAATCCCTGCATATGTATGTGAACATTGGACATTAACTACAGAAGCGGTGGTTCTGACAAAGAACATTGAAAGTAGCATGCACGGCCAGAACAACAAATCTGTACGGCCAGAATGCACCTTGGAAGAGGGCAAGAACTTGGGAGAATTGATCCAGCAAGGTCCCCCCTACCCCCACCCCCGGCACTAAGAGTAAACAGCACAATCAAATGGGAGAGGGAACTGAATAGGGCAACAACTCATGGGTATCAGCTCAAGGTAGAAATGTACTTGCATAGACTTCTCATACTGACAGTGACCCTAGGGCTGAATCACTGGGAAAATATATGATGTTATCAGTGCAGCTGCCTTATACCCCAGGGGGATGATCAACAATGTTGTGCTTTCTTGTTTCTATGGGGTTTTTGTTTTCCTGCCTTTAGCGATTTTGTCTTATTTTGTTTTTTGATTTCTTTCCTGTTTGTTTGTTTGCTGGCTGGTTTGTTGCTATTATTTGGTATGTTTGGTCATACGGGGTTTGGTTTGGTCATATTACGTGGCCGCCAAAGTAAACCTGAGTCACACATATCCCATGGACATGAAGGTGGATTCTGGGCTCCTACTTAACTCTAGCCCCAATGCAAGAATAGTTAGTTCTAATAACATGTCCCAACTTGATATATGAAATGCTCACTGAAGATAAGGGTGCTACAGCAAAGTGTGGTGAAGAAAGCAGATGGTGCTCAGCTGTCAATCAGAATAGTGTCTGGGGTCTTACAGGCTTGTATTCAAACAAGCAGCCATCTAAGCGAGGAGCCAACTAAGTCCCCATAGGAGAAGCACACCAGCTTGTGTGATCCAACAATAACAATAACAACATTCAAATATAACAAAGGGAAAGTATCAGAGCTAAAATTATGAAAACCCAATTGCTAGAAGGCTATGGAGGACAGTGGGAGCCCAAAACTCATCTGCAGAGTAATTACATAGTTAGATTAAACCACTGGCAGACTCCTACTTAGCCACAGGCAAGGGTCTTGAACAGCCTTACTATTAGACAGAGACCATTGTAATCTTGACTGTGCTGAATTGAACTTGATAGTTGGTCAGTTGACCTCCCTATTGACCCAACCTGAATTTGTTCCAGGTTTAAGTATCTTTTGCATTTTCCATGACACAAATTTCTTCCCCGGTTTTTTAAATATTGAGGGTGGTCTTTTCATTCTCAGTCATTATTTGTATTTTTATCTTTATGTTATTCTTTTATCCTTACCACTTTATTTTGATTTTGTTTTTATTTTTTCTATTGGGTCTCCCAGTTTGTGAAGCACAGGAGTGAATGCATAGAGATAACTGATGCAAGGGTTTATAGGGGATGTAGGGGCTGGTAGATAGGGTGGTGAGAGGATTTTCGAGGAAACAATGAAGGTGGGTGAGAGGGGGGAACAGTAGCTGATTGTAATTACACAACTCATTTTAAAGGTGCTTTAACCATGGGTGGTGGTGGTGGTGGGGTGTGTTCTAAAAAGATTGAACTATTGAATTGTATGATATGTGGATTAGGTGCCCATAAAAATGTAAAAAACCAAAAAACAAAAGAAGAGGGCAAGACTTAGCCTCGTGGACTTTGGACATGTTATCAGAAGAGACAAGTCCTTAGAAAAGGACATCATGCTTGATAAACGAAAACAAAAAACTCACTACCATCCTAGTAACTCATCGTGATTCTATAGTTCAAGGCAGAAGTGGCCTGGTGGATTTCTGAAATTTTAACTCTTTACAGGAGTAGAAAGTCTCACTTTTCTCCCACAGTGCAACTGGTGGTTTCGAACTGCTGACCTTGTGGCCCGATGCATTTCCCAACAGGGCTCCTTAGTAAAGTAGAAGGGGATTGAGAAGGAGGAAAGCCCGCAACGAGATGAGTTGACAACAGGCTCCAACAGAACAACCATTGTGAGGACGGAGCAGGACCAGGCCAGGTTTTGTTCTGGTGTACATAGATTGGGTTGCTAGTATTCTGAACCGATTCTGTGTCTCCTAAAAACAACCATGTCTGCAAAATATTATACTAAGCTATCCCATCCTTCTAGATCAAGAAATAGGTCTTCAGGGGGGGAAAGCCACTTGTCCAAGGCACCATGTGGGGAAAGCCACTGACTCAGCACTAACTCACTGTCTGATCTTACACAGTTTTCTGAGCTGGATTTCCAAGTCTACAAAATTAGAATGGCACACATAGGGTTGGTGTAAAAGTTCAATGAGTTAATTATGCGTTAGGCTTTGATCTGCATGGTCGGCGGTTTGAAACCACTGGCAGCAACTTGGGAGAAAGTCTAGGCCTTTTACTCCTGTGAACAGTAACTGTCCCCAAAAACCCACTGGTGTGTGTGTGTGGGGTGGGGCACTATGAGTCAGCATCAACTCAATGGCAGTGAGTGCGTATGGTCAGAGAATCAAGGCACTCTTGTGTGCTATCAGACCCCTTGGAAATAGAGGGGCGGTCTTTCCAGGAAAGACTAATTCGGTTTCTTCTCTGCTGTGATCCATAGTTCCTGGCCCTGGTGGTCTAGTGGTTACTTGGACTGCTAACTTGCAAGGTCAGCAGTTTGAAACCACTAGACACTCTAAGGGAGAAGGGCCGGGCTTTCTACTCCCATAAACAATCATGGTCTCAGAAACCCACAAGAGGGTCGCTGTGAGTCAACAGTGACTGATGGCAGTGAGTCTGGGTTTTGGAGTACAATGGTTGGCACAATAAGTATTCAACAAACAACCTCACAACCATCTAGTCCATGCTGACTTATAGCAGCCCCTCTTGTGGGTTTCTGAGACTGTTACTGCTTATGGGAGTAGAAAGCCCAGTCTTTCGTCTGTGGAGCTGCTGGTGGTTTCAAACTGCAGACCAGGAGGATCGCAGCCCACCACGTAACCACTACATCAGCAGGGCTCCTACAATAAGAATTCGGATGTATTATTACTACTAGTATCCCCAAAGGAGAAGCACGTAGGGTTTCATCTGTCGTACTCATTACACTAGATGGAGTTTCTGCCCTGATCTGAGAACAAAGGCTTTGCCTCCTAATAGAAAAGCTTTAAAGTCCCCCAGCCAAGTCAATGGCAGAAGCAGAAGAGAATGTGGTGATCACTTCTACCTTTTTGGAGGGGGAAGCTGTTTTGTCTAGCCTGTGTTATAATTCACTTGTTCATCTTCACTGAGAAGTGGCAATCCAGTCTTCCTTTGAATCCCCGTATTGAACGAGTACTCACTGCCTCAGGAAATCCGGCCCATTCTATTTTGAACTCTGAAAGAAGGATTGCAGGTGACCTTTCTGTTTCTCCTAGCCCTTCTCTGGCTTCCCGTGCCCCGCCTCTCTCCTTCCTCAATCTTCTCACCACCCCTACATCCCACCAGCTCCTGGAACCTCAAGTCCCTGTCTTTTCACTGAACTATTCAGTCAGCCACCATGTGATGCACTTAGTAGGGCTTCACTCTAGTCACTGGGCTGCCTGATGCCGGCTCAGTCTCAACACCCGTGATAGGCTTCTGGGTTTGGCAGTCTTTAACAAGCAAAGTTTTTTATAACAGGCCCATACAGCTTGCCTTTCTGATCCACAATGTCACCCATCAATCCTCGTAGTTTCCTTTATTAACCCCATCTAGAACCACATGAACACTTGACATGATTTGATCTGGTGTTTTTGAGGCTGAGGTGGGCTGATATGCAAGCCAAGAAGAGGACTGGGGCGCAGGGCCTGGCTCTGCGGCGCTGATCCACGCAGTCTTCTGGAGTTCGGATCCTGCCTTGGCCTCAACGCTCCGGTCCCCGCCAGCTCAGTAGCCTTCCGCGCGGTCACTTTAAGAGAGGGGCGGGGCGATGGCTCTGGCAGGGCAAGGCCAGCCCACCGGCTGCTTTTCTTTTTGATCCATTCAAAAATTACTCAGTGCAAATTCCCGGACTGCTCGGGGCTGGGGGGGAAGAGCCTAGAGGAGCGAAGGTTACGGTCAGCAACGCGCGGGGCACGGGGCTGGAGCAGCTGCCGGCTGGTCCCGCAGAAGCCGCTCGGCTGTGGCTCTGGCTCCGGTGGCCTCACCAGGAAGCGGCAGCGTCTGCACCTTGGGACAGCCCGGAGCCCCTGCCGCCACCGCCTCCAGTCCGGATCTCGGTCCCCGAGCCCCCTCCCCGACGACCGCGCCCGGAGGCTCCGGGAGATGGCTGGCCGCTGAGCTATGGCTCATCAGTACGGCCCCCCCAGCGCCCTCGGCATGGCCGCGCGAGAGGAACTGTACAGCAAAGTCACCCCCCGGAGGCACCGCCAGCAGCGCCCCAGCACCATCAAGCATGGATCGGCGCTGGACGTGCTCCTCTCCATGGGCTTCCCCAGAGCCCGCGCGTAAGTGACGGGGCGCCAGCCCTCGCCGCCCGCCCGGCCCTCCGCTGCGCTCGGGCTTGCCTCCCCGCGCCCGCTGCCAGGCGGCGCGCCCCCCGTGCCCACTACCTGTTGGGGGCAGGATGGGCAACCCGGCTGCCTTTGGATGTTTAAGGCTAAGGGGTCCGGGCACCAGGTTCGAGCCTAGGGTGGTACCGTGCTCGGCGCCTGGCTCTGGCGGGACAGGACTGAACCCGGTCTTCGGCGCGCCCCCTGAGGTCCCCACCGCCGAGTCCTTGGGGAGGCGGGACCCCATAGAGGCATCCTTTCCATTGTGAACCCTGGACTGGCTGGGCATCCTTGGGTGCTGGGAAAGGCCGGCGCCCCGACTGCAGTGGCTTCCAGCTCCGGATGTCGCTGGATGGTTCGGTTTCCCTCTGGAGTAGGAGGAGCGAAGGCGTGGGTGTCGCTGCGTGCTCATTGATGGGGAGGATGGATTGAGAAGGAGAAGCGAGTCCTCCAGGGGACCAAGGTTCTCGTCAGTGGTGACGGCAGCGCAGGAATCTGTGGGTGCCCCAGAGTAAGGAGGGGGAACTTCCCTCTTTCGTCTTTCATTGTGGGGAGGATGAGTTAAGGAAGGGAAAAGATGGGGACAGGTAGCTTGCCCTGTAGCCTGCTGGCAGAGGCCTGGTTGCCCCCTCAGTGGGGGGCGGCAGCCGGAGTCTGAGGCAGTGCACTCCTGTCTGGGCTGGAAGCTGCCTGGGAGTGAGAAGGCCCGGCAGGGGGCTCGGGGGTGGGATAGCTGGGGCATCAGCCAGCCTTTCTATCTCCTCTGTTTCTGCCTCTAAACAGTATGCGGATTTCTTGAGGCGTGATCTAGAGAGATTCTGTGAGTGCTGTCTCTTTACCTCTCTGCGTTATCACCGAATGAATGGGCGATTGGGTCACATTTTGTCAAGAAAGACCCAAGTTAATGAAACTTCTCTCTCTCTGCCCCATCCTTCCTTTCCAGGCAATAATCCCAGGTCCCCTTTCCCTTGCCTCTGAGCAAACCCTGTTTACTAACTGGACTGTAACCTCTTACTCACAGCAAATTCCTGAATCTGTCGTTCCACTCAGTCTGTTGAGACAGGTTGGAGTGGCCTTGAAAAGGCATGAAACACTGATTAGCGTCTGCCTTTCACTGTCTCCCGAACGCAAGTTCCAGATGCCGGAGTCCCAGGACAAAGATGGGATAGGATCTACAGAGGGTGTGTCTGTTGTGCATTCTGCAAAAGGTCCTCTGTGTGGGTGAGCTGGTTCGCAGAGCTTTCCTTAAGAACTGGAGCTCATGGTTGGGAAGTCTGCGGGAAACACTGAGGAATTAGCATAGTGCCAGGCATCTGCCTTTTCTGAAATGAGGCCAGAGTCAAGGACCTCGATTGCCTAAGGAAAGGACTGCTTAGCTTCTCAGATTGCCACATTGCTAATGCTACTTCAACCCGCCTGAAGGGGATATCGACATTCCTCCACTGGAGGGCTGGAGGGTTTGTACACAGCATAACAGATTGGGATGATGGGCTGTTTTTTACTCCCAACCTTCCATAACCCTCATAAGAGGAAGGATTGGCTGAGCATTTGCTACATACTGTTCTGAGCACTTTGCTTGTATTGTCCATTTTAAGCGACAGCAGCTCATTAAGGAAAGTTCTATACGTCCATTTTATGGGTAGGGAAACTGAGGCTTAGAAAGGTTACTTCACTTGCTCAAATTCACAACAATGGCAGTGAAACTGGGATTCCAGCCCAGCCAGTGTGTCTACAGCTCAGGCCCCAGAGCTAGGTTGTAAATAAATGAATTAATGCTTATAAAATGCCTAGAATGGTGGCTGGCACATAGTGGTCAATTTTTACGTGTGGCTGGTGTAACAAGATACAACAAACTGGGTGGTTTAAAAAAATTAAGAAAGAAATTTAAAATTTCATTCTCTGATAGTTTTGGAGTCCAAAGTGCAAAATCAGTATTGTTGGGCCAAAAGGTGTTGTCAAAGTTGCTTGATTGCAGAGACTGTAGAGGAGTTATCTTTCATTTGCCTCCCATTACAGCTGGTGGCTGCTGCCATTCCTTGGCTTGTGGCTGTATCTCTCCAATCTCTGTCTCCAGGGTCATAATCAGCTTGCCTTTTCTTCTGGCCGGGTCAAATCTTCCTCTTCTTACCTCTTACACGGATACTTGAGATTGCATTTGGGATTCACCTGGACAGTCCAGGATAGTCTTCCCATCTCAAGACCCTTAACCATGTCGCAAAGTCTGCTTTTGACATCAAAAGTGATATCCATAAGTTCTAGGGGACAGATCATGGAAATTCCTAAGAACTCCCATTTTTCCAGCCCACCCTAACTCCTTAATAGTGTCATTAATATTCATCTGTATTATTGCAGGCCATTCCACTCTTTCTTAAGAGGGAGCAGAAGTGTATCATGACGCAATAGCTTGGGTGGAAGAGAGAGGTTAGGTTCGAGGCTCCTTCTTCCATTTTCAGAGTGGGTCTTGGAGGCCACTTGATTTAGCTTACCCTCTAACCAGGCTTGCATTTCTCTTCCCTAATTCCAGACAGGCTGATGAAGTCAGCCTTCCCCACAATACCTTAGGCCACTAAGATGCGTGACCTCTCTATGGGCATATCTGGGATTCCAGCATCCAGGCACATAATTTCACTTTGCAGAGTTGAGAAGAAATCATACAAGACCATTGGGCTTAGCTTATGGGACTTAGCCTTTGTCTTGAGCCTTAAGCCTGGAACAAGGAGCATGATGAAAATTAAGGGTCAGGCACCTGTCCTTGTTGAGAGAACTGGGCCAGCCTTGGAGGACAGCTCTGGCTTTTTCTGCCAGTGCCTGGTACTGAGAAGCAACCAGAAGGACAATGGTATGGCTCCAGATGAACTGGCAGACAGATCGAGGCCAGAAAGGCTGGGTTCCGTCCCAACCTGTGCTGGATTATGGTATTTCAAAAGTCACCTAACCCCCTCAGGGGCTCGCTGGCTCTCTCTAAGGAGAAAAAACTCCCCAAACCAAGCAGACTGCCAACACGTCCATTCTGACTCATCATAACCCATTAGGACAGAGTGGAACTGTCTCTGTGGGTTTCTGAGGCTCTCCCCGGGAGCAGAAAACCTCATCTTTCTCCCAAGGAGCCTTTGGTAATTTCAAACTGCCACACACCAAGGCTCCTTCTAAGGAGCACAGGAGGATGGGTACCCAGTGCCGGCTGGTCCCGTGTTTTACAGAGCAGAAGGAGAGGAGTATGCAGTGCTAAGCCAAAGGCAGGGTGACCTGGAGCTGTGTTCTCTCCTGGGGCTGCGCTAGGTTTTTCCCACCTCAAAATATGAACTTTGCTCCAACTTAGACAATGATAGGGGAGAATCTGTCATAGACCCGAGGTTTGGGAACTGGCCGCTTTTATAGTGTGTGTAGGAGTCTCCTGAAAGGCAACGTTTAAGGGACCAAATGATCCACCCTCCATGTTCTTTCTATTGCTTGCCTACGAGGCCTTCTGTGTTGCAGAAGTTTGACAACTAAGGGCTCCACTTTGTTGACGCTGGAGTGAGATTGGTCCAAAGGGAAAAGTTAAGTGGGAGTCTGGGAAGAGGGTGCCCTGGGAGCCAGGAGAGGGTCTGTCTGGGGGTATGAGACACAGGAGGAAGCCAGCTCAGGTACTATGGTAGATCAATTGCTTCGGCCGGCCGGCTCTAATGGATTTCAGAGGACTAGTGTCCCCCTTCTGTCCTCTGTGGCTTCCATACCCTGAGACAGACTGTGGGACTCTGAGCAAGGCCTGACACAACAGAATTTGAGGGGTCCTTGCCGATACAATCCAGGAGTCAGCTTCCCCCACCCCCACCCCCATCCCTGCTTTTTTGAGATTATCTGTGGCAAGAACTTTCTTTACAGAAAATGACTTTTGAATGATAACTAATGGTTTCAAGAAAATAATCTCATGCAAGAACAGAATGGCAGAAGTTAGGGGACTGGAGTTCTACTTCAGCTTCTGACCAACATTTGAAGTTTTTCTCTACAGTCATGTACTGACCACTGGACTGTCTGTTCAAGCTACGTCTGACCACATGTATGTCTGTGGTCGTGCAAGGCTCTGAGAGAGCTCAGAAATTCCAGTCAGAGAATAGGACATGGGGAATACAGTAGCTTCCTGCACACAACACGTGTCTCATATACAAAGTAATGCTAGGAGTAGGATGGCGCAGTAATGCATATATATGCCTCGCTAGTCACAATAAACCCATATGTTATTGGCTTTTGCATGGCCTATACTGTACTTTCCATCTCCAAAGTGTAAAAGTTTACCATGGAACAATGTATGCTCAAGTCAAGGCAATAGCATCCAATGTTATATATAGTGGGCCGCTTGAGGGTTATAACACTATCTCCCTGTTTAATTTTCATTTGAAAATTTGACCATGAAGTGCATTATCGCTCCCAAATGCAGCAAAGTCGGAATGGCCAGCAATCCTCGAAAACAAAGAAAACTGTCTCCAAACTGATACAGGGTTGGCTCTGCTGAGAGCTACAAGGCTAATAAACACATGAGAAGGACCAATAATAGCAAGGAAGGAGAAATTGCTCATTTGAATTGAAGACCAAACCCCAAAGCAAAGTCTGCTGGAAATGCTTGTAGAGAAAGCGGGAACAGACTGTAATATGGTGTTCACACAATGTCCAAATCACATGATGTCCTATTTTATAAACTATATAATGGATTCTAAATGATGCATGACTCTTCCATTTTCCTCAGTGCTTCCATTAGCTTCTAAATATAGTAATAACCATCCTGTGGGTCTGACAGGGATGTGCAAGAACAAACGAGAAACTGGACAGGAAAAACTCTCAAAACCAAACTCACTGCCATTGAGTCGGTTCTTAGCGACCCTGCTGGCACCCTGGACAGGAAAGGACTTGGTCAAGGTAAAATTATAATCTGGACACAAGACATTGTGATGGTAATACCTGGACACAAGAGATGTGTG